TTTGGGAGACTTAAGCTGCCACAAAGTCTTTATGGATGGTAGCTCAGTATTTTTATCTAAAAAATGATATCTGGGGAGAGAAACCAAGATGGCGGCATAGGTAAATGCAGGTACTCGCTACCTCCCACAAGCACGTCAAAATTACAACTAAAATAAAGAACAACCATCATCCAGAACTGACTGAAAGCTAGCTGAATGGAAGTCTTACAACTAGGGAAGTAAAGAAGAAAGCACACTGAGACTAGTAGGAGGGGCGGAGGCACAGAACGGGCTGGACCAGTATCTCAGTGTGCCACTTTTTTAATTGGGAGGAAGATCAATAGCAATCAAGTCTCAACTTTTTTTAATTGGGAAGGCCCCCTGTGAAGCACAAGGGGTCCCAGCTCTATACTAGACTCCCAGTCCCAAAGCTGGGAAGAGAAGTCCCCATAACTATGGGCTGTAAAAATCAGCAGGGATTGGGGCTCAGTGACAAGGAGGCTGCTGTTCCTCTTAAAGGGCAAGTGCACGAAATGAACTTACAAGGTTCTGCTTCCTCTGAGCTCCAGAGCCAGGGTGAGGCTCTTGGTGACCCAGATACATACAAAGAGAAACTGGATGGTCTGGCATCTGGGCAGGAACTCAGGGGCAGCTTTCTCCCAGATGCAGGTGCTCGCAGGGTCATTGTTCCTGTGCTGGGATCTACCAGTAACAGAGCTGACTGGCAGCTACTTCGGTTTGCTCCGCCCTGGTGATTCCCTTTGACCCCACCATAACTGTGGCAGCAGCTTTTCTGAATGGCCTGTCCTTGCTAAAGCTTCAGACTTTGCTAAAATCTTTCAAACAAGCAACAGCTGGGCCAGAATGCCCCAAATCTATCAATAAAAGGCCCAAGACCTGGCACTAGCAGCAGCCTGCTTTGCTTCAGAGCTGGGCCTCGCCTGGGAACTTCTAAAACTGATACAAATATGAGGAATCTGCAGATCTCTTTGTAGCTCCTGATGAGTGGTCCCAAGCAGAGGCTGACTTTGCATCTCCCTGGAGACCCAAGAGCCAGTGTACCCAGTGTCAGTGGGAGACCACACAAGATTACAACTCTTTACATCCATAAGTGACACATCCGAGGGCAGACTCAGTGAACACCAAAGCATCACTGAAGCAAGTCCTGCTCCATAGGGGTGTCTCCTGCACAGCAGCTCTCTCACTGTAATCCCAGCTGGTCCTCACAGAAAATTGGCCTGGAGGTCAATTCCTCCTAATGACACCAATAGCAATCAAGTCTTTTTTTTTTTTTTTTTTTTTTTTTTTTTTAATATATTTTATTGATTTTACACAGAAAGGAATTGAAAGGGACAGAGTTAGAAACATTGATGAGAGAGAAACATCGACCAGCTGCCTCTTGCATACCCCCCACAGGGGATGTGCCCACAACCAAGGCACATGCCCTTGACCGGCAATCAAGTCTTAACGACAACTTGATTGTGCACACAGTCCACAAAGGTACCCACCTACAGAACTCAGTTCAGGTGATTGAAGAGGATAAGCCACTGGGCCCTAAAGGACACCTGCTACACAAGTTTACTCTACCAACACCAGGAGATATAGCAGTTCTATTTAATACATAGAAACAAACACAGGGAAACAGCCAAAATTCAGGGACAAATGAAAGAAATGGAAGCAAACTATTGGATTCAGAATTCAAAACCATGGTTATAAGGCTACTCAAGAATCTTCATGAGACCTCCGAGGGACCTTAGTGAGACTTTCAAGGATCATTAGTGAGACTTTCAATGCCAAACACACAAAAAAGGACTAGTCAGAAATTAAGTACACACTGACTGAAATAAAGAATAAGGGATTCAACAGTATACTAGAAGAATCCGAGAATCAAATCAATGATTTAAAATATGAGGAAGGAAAAAACACACAGACAAGAAAAAAGAAAAAAATAATCCCAAAATATAAAGGTAGTGAAGGGAATCTCTGGGACAACTTCAAGCATACCAACATTCACATTATGGGGGTGCCGTAAGTGTGAGAGAGAAAGATATTGAAAACCCATTTGAGAAAATAATGACAGAAAACTTTCCCTATCTGGTTAAAGAAATATTTACAACTCCAAGAAGCACAGATAGTCCCAAACAAGAGGAACTCAAAGCAAACCATACCAAGACACATTATAATTAAAATACCAAGGGAAAAATACAAAGAGAATCTTAAAGTAAGAGAAAAGCAGTTAGTTACCTATAAGGGAGCACCCATATGACTGTCAGCTTATTTCTCAATAGAAACTATGCAGCTTGAAAGGGAGTGGCAAGAAATATTCAAAGTGATGAATAGCAAGGACCTACAACCAAGATTACTCTGCCCAGCAAAGCTATCATTCAGAATTGAAGGTCAGATAAGGAGCCTAATAGAAAAGAAAAAGCTAAAGGAGTTCATCACCACCAAACCAGTATTATATGAAATGTTTAAAGGCATTCTTTAAGAAGAGGAAGAAGAAGAAAAATATCGTTTATATGAACAATAAAATAGCAATAAATACATATCTATCAACAACTGAATCTAAAAATCAAAATAAATAAGAAATCTAATGAAGAGAATAAACAGGTGAATAAAATAGAATCAGAGACATGGAAACAGAACAGACTGACGATTCTCAGGGAAGGGGGGGGTGAGGTGGGAAGAGATTTAACAAAGATCTTATATGCATTACCTGTCGACACAAACAATAAGGTTGCAAAGGCCTAAGGCAGGGTAGAAACCAGGTGGAGGGGGGCAATACGGAGGAAAAAGAGGGATATTTATAATACTTTCAATAATAAAGATTAAAAAAATAACTGCTTTCTCTCTTTCAGAGGGTTATCGTAAGATTAAACTGTGTGTGTGTGGCGGGAGGGGGGCGGGGAGGAAGGAGGGTTTCTGGGCGTTTTGAAAGCTCTTTACTAAATATCGATATTAGGCATTATTTAAATACAAGAGTCACTGAACACTGATCCAGTGGCCAACTTTCAGGGCAAAGAAATGCTGCTGTGAAAGGGGGCCCATGAGTTCTCCTTTCCTGCCTGATGTCTTGGCCCCTTCTTTCCCACACCTTCTTTGTGAATCCCATCCTCCTACTTCCAACAGTTCCCATGACTCCCCTCAGGCACTCACAACTAAACCACTCCAACAGGTGACACCACCTGATGCTGAGGAGTTTACTTCTAGCTCTCTGACCTGAGAGCCCCTCATAGAGTTGACTTTATTACTAAACTTGAGTTAAATAAAGTACCTAACAAAGGCCTTCTGCCATTGTTCCTATCTAAAGCTGTTCTCACTGGTGGCTCCTAATCTCATCAACCTGCCTCGCTGAGTTCTAAGGGTGTGATCTTCTCAGGATAAACTCCAAGTATGGTCTGTTTCATTTTCTAAAAGACAAAGTCTATATTTATTAGAAACTAGAGAACCTATTAGTTTAGGTTTCCTTTCTCTGGGACTGAGAGACTGTACCTCAACTTTATAGTTTTTCCTCTTACCAAACTGTAGGCGTGAGTGTCCTAGAACAACACGCTCCATCAGGGTGCTCAGCACATGGTAATGCTGGCAGGGAGCACTGGGACACTTTCCCACCCTGTGGACAGTCATTCGAGACTGCTTGCAGTCTTCATCAACCACTGTGTAAAAATAAAGCTAGTTATAAGCTCATCTGAATGAGTCCAACAAATATTACTGACCTTCATTCAAAACCTGCATTTTATGTCACCTATGTGACAGGGATTATCTGGCAGATTAGGTAATAACAGAGTATTATTAAACAGGACTGTGTTTGATTTCTCTCTTCACTTAACAGGGATGATGTCAACTCCTACATGATCTTGATGCATGTCACCTTGTCCGGAGATAAATATTTGGGAACTATGCCTCTAATGAGCAGATGACAAGGTCTAAGTGGCCCCATAAGCCAGCTGTGGCCCCAGACAACCAGTCTGTTCTGTAATATGGGAAAGAAGGGTTTAGTAGCTTCTTCTCCAACACTAAACTATAATACTAAAATAATTATCTGTACATGGGCCCTCTAAAATTGAATTAGTTCAATAATGCTAAACTGTAGATTTAACTACTTAGGAGACTGTTTTAAAACTACTGTTTCTAAGCACATTTATAGAAAAGAGCTAAAACAAATCAGTTCATTGGGACATTACTGATTTGCTTATGGAAGTCTGCAGTCATTCTCAATATCATTTGGAAAACTTCACAAGTTAAAAACAATTTAGATTAGAGTTCTACAGCACATCTAAAGTTCTTTTCTGCAGCATGATCAGACTTTGTCCCCAGGGACTGTGGGCAGCACAGTGTAGGAAATCAGAGTGTGATCTGAGGTTCACCAGCAGAGAGCTGCCTGGGATGAGGGGCCCTTTATCATTCAGATGCCCTCAGCTCCACACCAGTGACCAGGATCTTTAAAGACAGGGCACTCCTTTAAACCAATTCCTAGGTGATTCTCCTTGCCCAGTCAAGTTTGAGAACTGCTCCCAGGAAACAACAAAAATTTCTCAGTTCTTCCTCTCAGCCCCCTGAAATCTGTCCTAAGAAGAGCCTGATAAATACTTGGTGAAGTACAAAAGGTACTCTGTAAGGAAGAATATTATCTCCTGTATTTTCCTTAAACTGCCAGGAATCTTGATGCCACATTTGACCTCAATTATAGAAATTCTGTCGACCTTCATGGCTTGTTCTTTGAAACTTTTCTTTTAAGCTCAAATTTTTACTTTTATATTCTTCCTGCTTCTAACTTTTACCTTTTATTTATTTGCTGCCATCATTTTATCTTACGGTTTCTGTAAGAGCTCTGAAACCCTCTGTGGGATGAAACGGGGAATGAGTAAGTAAACATAAATCACAGCGGCCATTATTTGCTTTCCCTCCCTGTCCCTCCCAGGCTGAGATCCTGCCGTAGAGACCGAACCGCACTCCTTTGTTCCAGTTTTCAGCTGGGAATTTTTTCTCAAGAGTTCTTTATAAAGCACCAACAGCCTTACTTGTGTCCTTGGAGCTCGATGGCAGTTCCTTTTCTCCTACCGATGTCCCACATGATTACAGAGTGATCAGAGCTGCCGGAGAACAAAACTCGCTGGACCGGGTCCCAACAGAGAGCAGTCACCCCACCTGAGAGATCAGACACAGTGGAACATTAGTCACAGAGTAACAGTATTATTCACCAATAAAATGTGAATGCAAATGAGTCAGGATCTTGTGCAGTTCCTGGCATACAATAATGTTTTTGTTGAAAGAGTAAACAATAAGTCCCCAAAGAGAGAATTGGCTCTGAGAATAAGAATTCCACATTTTAAAGTAGTTTCCAAGAATTTAAATGTACCATAAAATAAATTTCCCTTAAGACTAAAGACAATGAAAAAGACAATTTATTGACCTTTAAACAATAGTCATAATTCTAAGAATGGAAAATATTGCACAGTTTAGAAATATCAGCCATATTTTTTTAATTGCTATTTTCTACCCCCACAATAGGTGAAAATTTATTACGTTTAAAAAGCTCAATTAGATTTTTTAATCTTGAATATCAGCTATATTATAGACTATAATAATATCTAAACTTAAATTTTATTTTCTTGCAAATTTAAATTTACAGATTCTGGGAAAATCATTTACATCCTTAAGTGTCAGTTTCCTCAATTATTTAAAATGGGGATGGTGATAGGATGACTATTACTACTGATAACAACCTAGCTGTCACCTACTACATCTGATTGTATGAGAATCAGAGTGGATCAATTATACAGGATCACTCTAGTGGCGTGGCTATAAAATATGACAGATTTTATTCTTTGGCAGTACCCTTATAAATCAAACTGTGCACAGAGTATAGTATTAACTTTTTACATATAAGATGAGCACAAAGACTACAAATAATTAAGAATGTGAAAAGTACTCATCTTTTACATTGAAAAAATTCTAAAATGTACAGTTCTTTAAAAAAGAAAAGAAAAATACTATATTCTAAAAACAACATAAAATAGCTTCTTATTTGTTGCAATCTGATGTTTTTCTTCTTTAGATGATCAATTTGTCCTAATAAAGTGCTTTACTTTAAAAGCTTTTAGAAAAGTTTCCCTTATATAATTGCCTGAGATTTTTTTTTTCAAGATCAAAAGGAAAAAAATACCTACTATACTGAATCGTATTTAATAGCTTCTTCCTGTATCTGCACAGCATTCTGCTTATATATATTTCTATCCATATAATTAACATCACTTCCCCCGGTAAATACGCCCTGCAGCTCCCACCTCCTCTTCCCTCACTACTTTCTGCCCTCATCCTGCCTTACACACACACACACACACACACACACACGTACCAAGCACACAGTCAGCAGCAGACAGCCCTAGTATTATAGTCTGTTGAATGAATGAAGGAGCAAATGAATGAAAACACAAATATATATAAACACAAATCTGTGTGCTGGTGGGAATCGGGCCAAGACCAGCAGTCCAAGGCCACCTGCCACTCCTGCTCACGCAGGCCCCGCTGCGCCTGCTGCCACTGCCCCCGCCCCTCAGTAGGTTCGCTGCCACTCCGCTGAGCGGCGCTCCCACGGTGGGAGTGCACTGACACAGGGGGCAGCTCCTGTGCCTCAAAGCAACCAGTCGACCGGTCGTTTGGTCACTTAGGCTTTTTATATATATAGATTTAAAAAAATCCATAAATCTTACTTGGAACTACTCTGTGATGCTTACTTAACCTTTCAATGCTAAATATTTCCTCCTCCTGTAGAACTCATCATCTTTCCCTGCTATTAAACTCCATGATTATACTTAAAAAAAAAATCCTTCAGTATTAGTCCGTGTATTAGTTCAAGATTTGCATTCCATTCTGAAAAACATGTTATTTGTTCCCACATAGTAGCCAAATGGCTTATTTTGTTAAACATCTGTAGCAGCATTAGCTAACTGTCCATCTAACTTCACATTCCCTCTTTCATATAAAGCGTTCTCCCTGGAAAGCCGCTGTCCTGTAAGGGCCACATTACCAGGCTCTCTACAGCCAAGGGGCATGTGACCAGTTCTCAGCAACAGAACCCCTAAAGGAAACCGGATAGCGAGTGGAAATAATATGCATCTCTTTCAGGCCAAGGCAGTTAAGACGTCCCTTTCCCACTTCCTGCCAGTGGTCTCCAAGACCCCAGGACAGGGAGAGAATGCATTCTAGGAGGAGCCGAGGTGCCTGAATCACCACATGGAAAGAACTTAAATTAGCAACACCTATACTGGATTGTTACATGAGCAATAAATAAACTTCTGTTGCATCAAGGCACTAAAATGTTGGAAATGATTTTTTAGAACAGTTAGCATTGCCTTTTACAGTATTTTTGGACTATTATAATAACGCCAGCTCAAGAGGAAGGTGAGAGTCACCAAAAGCTTCACGAATGTCAAACAAATAAATATAAGTTACTAGTTTAGACTGTTAATCTTAATGCCTAATATTTAAACAGAATTTAGCCTCCAAAACAATCCATCATAAACTCTTGAATTTGTTTTTTTCTCCAAAATATATCCAGAATCTAAGCACTTCTCATTATCTCTACTGCTATCTTTGTATGAGCCACTATCATACAAGGAAAATTAAGAAGTATGACACACATTTTGTTGTAAAGGCTATGGAAGAAAACAATACATACATTGATGATGAGAATGCAAACCAGTTAAGTGGGGGAGGTCCCATCTAACAAAACTACATATGCACTAGGCTCCTAATCCTGCAGTTTCACTTCTAGGAATTTATCTTGAAGATACTGCCCCCAGTTCCACTAAATAATACAAAAATATACATGCACAAGGCTATTTATTTCAGTATTGTTTTAAATAGCTGAACATTGGGAACAGCCTAAATACTCATGTAAGAGAGTGGGAAAATAAACCATGCTACACTTATACACAGTACTACATAGCTCTGAAAATGAATGAGGATCTCCTGGATGAATAGAAAGTGATTTCCAGAATGTACTGTAAAGCGAAAAAGACAAAGTGCAGAAGAACTTTTACCTAAGAAAATAAGAGTAAGTGAGAAATTAAAGAGCTTTATTAATAGCAGGTGTGTGGGAGAGGCTGCGGAATGAAAATGGAGCAGGGATGAAGGAGAGTGACATTTGTCATAGTATATATATTTTTTGTTTGATTCTGAGTTTTAGAACCATGTATATGTTTTACATACTCAAAACAAGTAAATAATAAAAATCAACTAGATGTGTGTGGTGGATCCAAAATGGAATATACAGTAAACAGAAAAACCTAGCTGTATTACAAATGATTGATACAGCCACACTAAAGCAGGGCATGGGGAGAAGTGATAAAAGTGATTTTGGAAAATGGAAATAAGGTTAAATATAAAAAGATTTGTACATGAAAATTGTACTCTGATTAATAGGCTTGTATTTCACAGGGTGATGTGTTAACAATTCTGGAACTGTTCTATGTGTATTCTAGGATTAACTAAATGTATTAAGGATAATGAAAGCTGAGTTTCTCACTGTTATAATAGGAGTTATAAATAAGAGGAGGAAGGTTAGAATGATCTCTTTGTGTTAGATTGGACTTAGCAGTATGAAATCACAAAAATATGTAATTACCGATGTGTGAGTACACATGTATTTTTTAGCTTTGTCTACTGAAAGAGCCTTGAAGTAATTACATCTCATTAACAATGAGCACACACAGCACCCAAATTTTGGCTTCTAAATACTAGTCACTAATAGAAGGAACAAGAGCTGCTTAGATGGCTGATTCCAGGGCTACAGCAAGCAGTGTACAAGCTGAGCCAGGAACATTATGTGGTACCAAAAACTAAGACGTGCTCAAAAAATGATGGAGACATGTGAAAAAGGACATAGGAGGCAATGTGAAAGGGTTCCTAATGGCCAAATTGAGGGCAATTTGAGCAACAAAATAAATAAATGGTGATACAAGGTCCTTACACAGAAATTAGTGAGAACTTGTGGGTCTATTCCACTATAAATAATTGCATAGATAAACAGGAAATAAGTAAAAGTTTTTCTTATAGTACAATTCCAACTAAAAAGTGTAGGAAGAATAATGCTAATAGAAAAAACAATTTGGCAATCACCACAGTCATACTCGTTTCTGGTAAGAATCATCCATGCATACTAAAGTTATTGGACAGAAATATAATAAGAAACAATATTTACATAGTTCCGAAGTACTTCTTCATAAAACATTTGTGAATTACAAAGGGTAATCAAAGTGGAGAAACCTGGCAGACACAAATCCTAACCAAGGGATCAAAGTTATCATCATCAGTAGCAGGCCAAATCATGTGTACTTTGATATGATGCACTACTTAAAAAGTATCAAATCACTTTTGTAGGGTATTATAAAAATTGCATAACCTGCCCTGACCAGTTTGGCTCAGTGGATAGAGCGTCAGCCTGTGACCAATTCCGGTCAAGGGCATGTGGTTGCGGGCACAACTCCAGTGGGAGGTATGCAGGAGGCAGCTGATTGATGTTTCTCTCTCATCGATGTTTCTGACCTCAATCCCTCTCCTTTCTTCTCTGTAAAAAAGTCAATAAAATATATTTAAAAAAATGCATAACCTGAATTTAACCATGAGGAAACATCAAACAAACTCAAAGGAAGAAACATTCTACAAGGGACGGGCATTCTAGCTAGTACTAAAAAATGCCAAGGTCTTAAAAGACAAGGAAAGACTAAAGAAGTGTTTCAGATTAAAGATAACTAAGAATTCATTATAACTAATAAATTGTGTGGTCCAGGGTTGGATTCTGAACCCGAAAGAGGATATTAGTGTGATAACTGGAGAGAACTGGGGATAAGGTCTGTGGAATAGAGAACAGTATCATATCAATGTTAATTTCCTAATTTTAATATTTTTACTGTAATATTCAAAGATGTTAACATTTGGGGAATATGGGTCAAAAGTTATTTTAAAATGAAAAGTAAAAATAAAACAAAACAAACAAAAAAAACCCCAGTACTATTATAATAGCCTCCTATAAGATTTCTTTGCTTCTACTCCTCTTCCTGTTGTCCATTCTCTGTCTAGGAGCCAAAGTGGTCACTGAAGAACACAAAGTGGATTCTGACACCCTTGCTCCCATCACTCCTGTG